TCAGGCAGCGGTGGAAAAATAGTGCAGTTTGTCTACCTAAGACAATTTTTTGTCCTAGTGACAGGACTTCTTTTACAAGTCGGAGATCCTATGTATAACGAAAAGCAGCATAATTTGCCCTAATGGTAGAGACAGTGATTGTATAAGTTCGGGTACAGTCTATCTGATCTCTTGTAAAGTGTACGGGGACGAATACGTTGGCGAAGCGGGTAGACCGACCTGCGTCTGCGTAAGAGAACAACTAGTCGGTAAATCTAAATTAAAACCAAACTCCACTAGGCGCGCATAGGATGCAGGAGCACAATGGAGAAGATTTTAAAGTAGGAGTTACTTCTAAACCGACTTTCTCTAAACCTCGGTGTGACTAATCAATATGTATTCCTTTTTGATATGCTCGCACGAGGTTGATAAATATATTTAGTTACTATAGGAGTTACTATCCTCACGCAGGAATCGAAAACATTAGCGCTTAAAACTCTTGAAGCGTTTTGGATCAATTCCAAAAATTCAAAAATGAACCGCAAGGAGTGCCTTATCATCACGCGTGACCTGGCGCCATACCTCAGGTTAATCCAGTGACCTGACAGAGACACAGTTATCCCCCCTGTATTACTCCGTGCGGCTGCTATCCATCAACTAACTTAAATACTTACAACAAATAAACGGTAGGTGTTTAAATGAAGCTGTCTCTTATGTGAATACAAATTTATTTGTTAAGTTTTATCTGCTGGGGTTATGAAAGTGTTTGGCTGAGTAGATCGCATCTTAATTTGACCTTTCCAGGCTCTGAAGAAGGCGAAACCGCTGAATCGTCAGCTAGCGTATCCTAATAAAGTGTTTTCTTCCTTGTACTCGTACCAAAAGTAAAATCTACGGCTTAGGGAATACTACGCAGGCCGATATAAATAGCAGAATCAAGAATTGTGAAATATAATTCCGAACATTTGGGGTGTACTGGTTAGAAGCGCTCTGCAATACACATGGGTTCGAACCCGATCCCCAGGCTGATCAAGCCTTCCATCTCTCCGGTGTTGGCAAATTGGTACCAGACTTGTCTGGGAGGGTAGCAACACAGACTGAATCGTTAGGTCACCGCGAGTCATTACATAGGCCACATATGCAGTCAATCACCCTTAACATTGCTGAAGTTGAATGCATGGCACATCCCTCAGCTATTGATCAGCCCCACGAGCTCTATCCCTTTATAGGTCCACAACTTCTTCGCAACGAAATTCTCCGAGTTAGCGCTGAAAGGACTCCCATCACGAATGCTCATCTGGACACGGAGGTGCTGCATCAAAGATTTTGGCAACAACATAAAAAATCGTCTATAGCGAACACTTGTGAGCTTAAATACATTCAGGATCCGGACACACCATCGAGTGCGGTGTTCTTCTTAATATCACGTCCATCGAAAGGTATGGTGGTAAACGTGAACGATCCCTCAACACCCATCTACAACTTTTCGCAAAAGGAAATCGACGACTTGTCTGTTATCTACATACGACATGCGAGTTGGGTTTCCGTGATTCTTTTTTTTTCTACTTTTCCTTTTTCTGCAATACTTCCTCATATCCGGTGTTTGTGAAAACAAAATAAAAGTCATGGTTGATTTCGTTGAATGAAAGTCTGCAAACAAACAAGGATGTAGTCATTGGTACCTCAGGTGGACGATTCGTGAGGTGGCATGGCTTTGTCTGTTTGTGCCGGGTTCTCTCGTTGGTTTTGATGATACTTTCATTAAGGCTCCTAGTGCACGAATAGTTTCAGATGCATCTGGGTCTGGTGGGTTTTCGTTTTTGCTCTCGGATGGTCTTCACCAACTCGGACCCGAGTGGTTCTCAATCGAGAGTTGGAGAAGTTCTTCCCCGGTTCTGCAAGCGAACGCAAAACTACTAGCATCACCAAGAGCCAGTACCGTGATTGGTGTCGAACTGTTGAGAGCCAACATTCCCAATGTGAGCTTGATCGAATTTCTTAGATTCATCAAATGAATTATTCTTGATAAGTCATTGACTGAATGATAAAACTAGCATTGTTCAAACAATTCAACTAAACTCTAGCAGTGAGTCATGCTCTGTTCCACACTTTTTCTTAAATTTTGTTAAAAACTATGAATTACTTTATTAAGACTCGTCCAGAAGAGATTCTGTATTCCGTTTCCAAGCCTCCCAAGTATGGAAAGCTGGTCGTGGACTCCCAGGAATCGGATAAATTCAGTCAACTTGATGTGAATTGATTTTTCGTCTTCCTTCTCACTATTATTGCCATTCATTATTATTCATTGAATAGAAAATATGACTTGTTAATAGTGGTGAGATCATGCTTGCTTGTTCACATGTCGAGCAGAGGAGGAATTCTTTGAATAAGAAAAGGGCACCAGCTTCTCATCTTAACGTTATTTCATTTGAAGATTAACCGGAACCGCGTTGTCTACAAAAACGAAGATTTTCCACAAAAAGAATGGACCAGGAAGGACTCGTTTCACTTTGTACTTCAGAAAAATGGTTCAGATCATCCAATCGAAGAGGAATTCAGGTGAGTATTATATTCAGAATTTGAGTTCACGAGCCCAAACGGAGCCACATTTCTTAAGGTTTCGCATCTCATCCACGTACGCTGCCTTGCATGATCCTACTGACAACTATGTGAAGGTGTCGCCTCTGTACACCTCGAAGGGCAGGTTTTTGTATTTTGTGAACGTTTTCTCAGTTTTGTTAAGATATCAATAAGCACCAAGTAACGACTACAAGGACCGCCCATTAGTGCTTGATTGATCACTGCACGGTGAAGACTCGACCTATCTACGGGGTTTAAAGGCTGACCTTTCAGGCAGTGACCAATCACATGTGAAGAACATCCATTCATGTCATTCTCAGAAATATCCTCATTTCTTCTTACCTTTTGTAACAAATTGAGTTCTGAAGAATAATTTGTGGGTGTAAAGAATGTTATGAAGTCTTCCTATTGCTAGCAACGCTTTTTTAAAAATGGTTACTTAAATATTTAGGCTAAACATTTTACATATTACATCGTTGTCCTTATTTTTCACTGCCTCTGTCTTCTTCAAATATTCCTACACTGAACTATGGGAATTAGACTATACATAACATTAGGCGTTTCCACTAAAGTTTCTTTATTGTAGGAGGGTCAGTGACTCTAACTACAACTCAGCTCGATGCCTCCGCCCTCGCATTGGCAGTGGAAAACGAGGTGACCATTGGAAATGTTCATTTTTTTATTCAGACAAATTCATATGTGGACTCTGTGATCTCACTGCGTATAATGAACATTGATAGAACTCCAGGGCTACAGTAAGAAGCTCGGTGTGGCACTTTGTAAGCACGGGAGAAAATATGAAAAACAATGAATTGAAAAGGAGTGAAGAATAGGAATTTTTCATATTTATTTAAATGGTCCATAAATTAGCTTTGTTGATGGTACTTCAAATTATTTCCCGTGAAGCTACAGAACTCGTCTCCAAGTAATGGATGCGGATTATGTGCTGAGTTCTCCCATCTACATTCCCTAAGTTGATGGTGATTCAGTAGATGAATTTCTTGTTTCTGTTATTCCTAACTTATTCTTAACCCTTTTATTTACTTTTTTAATGGCAGGTTTATGTTGCGAAATATAACTTGTATGTAATGCTGAGATATTTGCAAAACTCCGGACCGCAGGTGTATGCGGTGGGGAACGAACGCCCGCTATTGTCCTTTCCGGGGAGTGGCGCACTTCACCACCACACCATCCGGGTCCTTCGTTCCGCCTGTCCCTCAGCTAGTTCTATCGATCTTTTTCCGCATGGTGTGGTGGTGAACGCGTTACTTCCCGGAAAGGACAATAGCGCGTTCGTTCCCCACCGTATACACCTGCGGTCCGGAGTTTTGCAAATATCTCAGCATTATATACGGATTCCTAACTTGTTTTTATATGCTCTATCTACGAAGGCATATGCATGCGTACGTTGTTGTACATGGTTGTATGTAGATTCCTTTAAACGACTAACGACACGAATGAGGTATTTGCTGTTGAAAAGTTATAGATTAACACTGGCTTTGACAGCTTTCGTTGTCTGATCAACGAGATCAAGATATGACGAACACGAGACTGATGTCGTATCTTTCGCAAAACTCCGGACCGCAGGTGTCTGCGGTGTGAAGCTGAAGCGAACACGCTATTACCTTTTGCGGACGACTAAGCTGAGAGACAAGCGAAGCAAAAGACTCCCATGGTACGGTGGTGAGGGCGTTGGCCTCCGGAAAGGCTAATAGTGCGTTCGTTCCTCACCGCAAGCACTTGCGGTTCGGAGTTTTGCAAATGTCATCATTTGCATCACTGTGGTTGTACTTCGCATCACACCCTGTCGTGAAAAATGATAGTAGGCGGCCACTAGAAGTTAGCATTGGATTTCAAAATATTTGTTTACTTAAATGAACTTTAAAAAAGTTTTTGACTTAATGGAGCGGTTCAGCCACCGGTCAAAAGTGTTCATGGAAGCTGTGGAAAGCGAGGGCATCTTTACTTATCAAATAAGGTTCTTTGTTGAGGTATATGAAGGTTTTGCAACCAGGATATATTCGTATCACAATGGGATTCTCGTGGAAGATTCAACGATGTGATATCATTTCTGCAAAATTATTTACACTTTTGAGAACGTCATACTGAAAGTCGAAAGGTATGTGGGAGTGATATTTGGCGAGCAATGCTGTCCTTGAAACCCCAAGCACTAAGCAAACAATTGGCCACCGCCTTTGGTTCTCAAGGAAATGATTTCGTCGGGTAAAATATTCTTCTTTTTATGAAAAAGAAAAATGAAAGTGATCGGACCACGGCCATCCGCTATTCCTGCTCTAAAAGTTGTATGATTATCATCTCACACTTACATTAGCCATAGTAAATCATTAGGTAGCTAAGAGCATTCTCGGTTACTTGCAGCAGAAGCAAAAATTTACTATTTTTTTCTGTAATTCGTTTTCTTAGAGTTTCCAATTTTTCAGGAGTTGATCGTTGACGTTTCCATGCTTCCACGCCATGGTGAACTTGTATTCCTTGATGGCACTGCCACCTCCATCACTTGGCTTGATTTCAAGTTAGAACCAAAGCTTATATACAAACATGGAGTGAGTTAGAAATGGTTATGACAGCCTCTTTTTCGTCGATTCTTTTGCTTTGTCAATTCCAATCAATTCCTCACTCAGGGTGAGGAACCACGTAGTGACTCAATCACCTTCTTTATATATCCAGCCAGTGAAAGAACTCGTCGTTCTAGTCGATTGCGAGTAACTGTATTAATCCATATCAATTCCTTACGGGATCCACTGGTCCAAGTGAGTGAAATTTGTGCCAAATTTGACATGTTGATTTTGCGGCCTATTTTGGTATGAAAATACATGGAAAAGAAAAGCTACATAAGAAAGAGCAATGACGTCACTTGTCATAAAATAAGTTTACAATTTCAAGACCGAAGGTGAAAGCCGTCAAATATTTATATCCTCATATTTCTACAGTGAAGTCAGTGGAACTATATGAAATTTTTTTTGAGCCGCTGTTAAACGTGTGTCCTTCGAGCTACCGTACCCCACAGGGCTTAGAGGCATATCATTATCATCATGGTTTGAAGTGAACCTGCTGAAGTGAATATGCACAGTCAACTCTTGGGACCGTTGAGCTCGTTCATCACAAAAATTCGTTGAGGATTTTCAGATCTCTCAGTCCCAATTTCTATTTTGGTATACTAAAAAAAGGGTTAAAAATGAGCTATTGGGTTCCACTATTTCAAATGAATAGTTCGTTGAGTCACATGAGGTAGAACTTTGATTAAGATTTGTTTGAAGCTTAGATAATTCCTTAATTGTTGAAGGTATCGAGGTTCCCGACGTCGATTTCCGTAAGGAATTCTGGCGTGGTGTCACTGTCGTCACAGTTTTTCTTCGCCTCACATCCGCACGTACCACCTCAGTCCATCGTCTATGAGCTGGTGCATCCCGGATCGGCACTTACCGAGATTCGCGTTAGTGGACAGAAGAGGAATATGTTCAGCCAGCAACAGGTAGACATTGACAATTTTTCAGAGGACAACAAACAGCTACAAGAATTGCCTCAGGAAAATGGGTTGTTCGGGAGTTCATTCAAGATTTGTGCCAAAGTTGCATCCTTAACAAATTTCAAAGGTTAGAATTTTAGAGTCAAAAAAGCAATTTCGAAAAATCTGCTTTTGTGAACTCAAAGTCGGACGTAGTACTAACTGCTCAAAGCGTCAATAATCTATGGAGCGAAGGAGGTGTTAACAAATTCGACGATCGCTTGAAAAATTTCATTGTGACGTGTTCGGCGTTGAACTTGAGGAAGGTCGCAGCGGTCTCTCTGTTATTAACGATAATGAATTGATGGCTATCGTTGGAACAGATACACACAGAATTGTCCAGAAACTTTCAGAAGAACTCAGTGTAAGCATCTGAACTCAGTGCAACAGAACAGCAGAACTCAGTGCATCTCAATTGTTTTGGAGCACCTAAAGGAAATGGGGAAGCCGAAGAAACTCGACAGACGGATACCGTCGTAGCGCGTGGCCACATGTTGCTGGGCTACGAAACTCTCCCTCATCTATCATATCATAGAATCTCGCTTACAGACTACCACTTCTTCAATCATATCGGCGATATTTTATCATATAAAAAATGTCAGAAATACTTCAGAAACTAGGCCCAGATAGAAGTTGCCCTCAACGACCTCATCGCATCTAGAACTCCAGAGTTTTCTGCAAACAGTACAGTTATGGATTTCTAATTAGGAAAAATATGTAACTTTTAGTGATCCTTATGTCAGTCAATAACATTTGTTCCGAGCTGATATATGCCACTTTAAAGACACATTTTGAAATGGTCTATTAATTTCCGAACAACCTAGTACAACTCTTCGTTGCTAGAACGTTAAGAACAGCTACAAAGTTGCTGGGATATTTGCAAAATTCCGGACCGCAGGTGTCTCCGGTGGGGAACGAACGTGTTATTACCCTTTCCGGGGGCTAACACGTTCACCACCAGTTAAGGACAACACTGGTTTCTCATAGTCTTTAAAAGAGAAGATTCTCTATAGTTGCATAATAGTTAAAAGATTACATGAATTCTTCTTTAATCTTATGGTTCTCTTTAGACTGAGAGCTTTAGAATTTAGCTTTAGACTTTAGACAGTGCTATACAGCTCCTTTTTTGGATTATTCTTGAGTTTGACTCTTTAGTCCACCACGCTAATGTCCATTTCCGAACTTATCCGTTTCATTCTATCTTGAACCCTTCAAAATGAGGGACTTAACATTTTGTGTTTGTGTAAAATTGTTACAGATTAACGAAGGTGTGGTGTCGATCGGTCATGTACCGTCGTCGTCGATGTCCATGTCGTCATACGACGTCGTCGTGTTCTCCGTCGAAGGTCATTCACGTGCACTTATCGTCAGAATTAAGCCTTTAGATTTGGCATTAGAAAACCATACAGTTATCGAATATCCACAAGGGAAAACCTATGTGGTGTTGAATAGGTGAGCAGTTTTTCATTTTCAATCGGACTTAGACCTTTTAGCTGTAAAAGCCAAATACTCGGGTTCAGGACTCATCTAAGCGCTTACTCGAACGGCGATCGGTCTACCATAACTTACAAGGTTAGAAATAGTTACTGCTAAAAATTTTCTATTAGCAGTTTTCTTACAGACAAAAGCGAAAGTGTGATTCAAGAGATTTTCAGATCACGAGTGGTCCTGAAAATGGTACATTCTATTGGGTGGCTGGTGAGAAAGAAGCAAAACACTTCACGCAGAAAGATATCGATGAAGGAAAAATCCTTTATGCTCAACTCAACATGAACTCTTACAAGGTCGAGAAGAGCTATACTTATATCGAACTATAAACTATACAACTATACATAGCTTTGGAAAGAACTTTTCACTTAGACCCTTGTGGGTTCTTTTTGAACTACTAGTTCAAAAACTCATAAGGATAAGATTTAGTGGGAGCAACAACAAAAAGTGTATCCATTCGTATTTATGGCTAAGTATATATTAGAGGACTAGTTACGTTTGTATAGAATTAAAGTGCATTCATGTTTTTGTCATTTCAGGATAGCTTTGAGTTCTTATTAGCGAATACTGAAAAAGGCGTGGTACGTAACCGATCGGAGATCTCAGTTCGACCACTGGTGACCGCTCAACCTGTAATCGTCGAGACGAACAGTGTCGTCCCGTTGACCGCCAGCCAACTGAACGCCAGTGCCTTACAGGTTCTCTGGCATTTAATGAGTATACGGTGCAAAAATAAATTTGTAAACCCTTTTTTCTGTCCGTTTTTTCTCCTAACCTTGATTCTTAAAGAAGTTGTGTACTGTTCGAATGGTCTGCGACGTCGCCTTTTCAATCGTATCTCCTTTGTTATAGATTTGCCCATTATAATAAGTGTCGATTTAACCTGCTACTTCACCTTCAGTGGGGTCGCTTTCCTTATCGCAGGAATCGCTGATCACTGCCACTAGAGGGAATTCTGCCATTTTAAAAGAGCAACGGATTTTAAGATTCTAATGAAAACCACGCTTAACAAGCTCTGAATAGATGAATGAGCAGAAAAGACAGTAGATCCTCGAAGCTTAACCGAATCTAGGCACAACTCACGACCACCTTCACGCATGACGACTGCAAGAGAACAGAAGGAGCCCTGGCAGTGGTTGTACTTGGTGGTAGTTTGATTCGAACATGGTGGGCCGTGTGAATCTCATACCACTATCTTTTAAAAAACCGGAGCTGCTAGCACAGATATTTGATTTTGGTTACGAACACAACCGCCCAATGTGTAGGTGACCATCCTAGGAGATCCTCGCATCCTCGTTGATTTCTCTCTACAGCTCTTTTCGCCCACCTACCCTTCATCTCATTATATGACCGGCCCATCTGTGTTTCGCAGTCGATGTCTGTTCTCCTAGATCGCGAAGATGGGATAGACTTCGAAGATCAGAGTTTTGCATTTCGGCTAGATATTGTGTGTGCCTGTCATATTCCAGAACACACCTTTCAAGCGCTCTGTAGGTAGTGCGCACTATTGTAGAACTATCGGCCTGCTGCTGCTACTGTAACAGCTGCAAGGCACAGCACTGGATGTACTATTAGATCGAAAAGGTGCTTGTGGGTTTTTGGGTCCTTTAGTTGATCTTCGGTTGTTCCTTCATTGACGAACTTGTATGCGGTTCAGGCTGCTTTCCTTCTTTTCTGTAATTCCTCCTTCACCGTGTTCCCCATGCTCATGGAACGTCCAAAACACACATGCGAGGTGGTCTCTGTAATCAGCGAACCAACCAATTCGATCTATTGTCTTTCGCATCATGACATTTGCATGAACTGGATCTTCTGATTTGTGCGTACTCCGATCCTTTTTCCCGCTTCATTGAGCTCATCGATCGTCGCCTCTGCTTCATTACTACTTCACAACTCGAGGAGATAATGATATCATCAGCGAAACGAGAATTTAGTAGGAATTCGCATCAATACGTATTTCTTTCCCATTCCAATCGTGTGTTTTCATCTATCCACTGCAATGCGGCAGTAAACAGCTTTGGCGAGATGATGTCGCCTTAAAGATTTCCTTCTTTTATGGGTAGTCATTAGCTAGTGGAAAAGCTGTATTTTTGTGCTGCAGTTTCGGTAGCTGTGAGCCAGAGCTCCTATGCAGCGAGGGTCCACTCTTTGATCGTCGAGCCCCGATAAGACTGCATTGGTTTCGACGTTCCCAAGAGTTTTTTCATGGTCGACAAAAAACTAGGGAGAGCTGTTAGTCCCGACAAGCTCCGGTTTGGATTTAGTTCGCGCAGCAAAACCGTTATTGAAACCCTGCTTGCTCATCTTGTTGTGCCTCATTCAATGTCCTTGATATGCGCGACAGGATAGTCTTCGTGAAGCGCTTATAGAATACACTCTTTAGACATAGCGAGAGATAACTATGAAGATTCCTTCAGTCACCGTTCATGGGTGTGGTGACCGTAGGCGAGGTCCTTCACTGGTCTGGGATTTTCTTTTTCTGAAAAGAAATCATGTTGGTTGCGAGAGGTACATGTAAATTGTTGTTTCCGCTTCTAAGGAAGTCGGCGGTGATATTATCAGGTCTTGGAGCTGTGTCTTCCACACTTTCAGTCGCAACTCGAACCTCTGACTGAAGAATTCCAGGTGGTTTTTCTCCAGCGGGATTTTAGAGTCTGGGACGAGGATTGGTTTTGGAACGTCAAATATTGGTGTAGAACTTCTTCATCATTAGTTCCATATCAATGGAGGGAAATTTTGGTGTTCCCAACCTAGTGGTAATGAAGGTGCTCTCTGACGTTCTTTCTTGAGCGACTGAGACGAGTTCGGCGCAACTTCTAAGCCATTCGACGAGCTGCTCGTAGTTTTCGCTCTGGTATTCTTCATCTGCCAGCCACGTTTAAGTAGGATTTCGTTTAATTTGTCCTCATCATTTAATCGTTTAACCTTCGACGATCAAATAGAAAAATTGTTAACTTTTTATTTACTGCCTTTTATTATTTTTCGCGGTGAGGTACAATGTGAAATGAACTTGAACTCCAGGGTAGATCGAACGACGACTACCCTCTCCGTGGGCTCACATGTTACACACTGCACCACTGAAGCTCTTGCTTTGCATTTTTCTCAGCTAGTTTTCTACCCAACGGCGCCATCAACAATCACCCGTCGACGTATAGATTTGTGTTATCACAAACTAACAGATTCTGATGGTCATTTTTTGCAAATCCTCTACAAGAGACTGCAAGAAGTAGGTTAACTTGGTGAAAATTACAAGGGGATCAGAGGATTGGAAAAAACGCTTCGATACCGTTGTTGAATTCCTTAGGAACTTTAATAAAAGTGGAAAAATAAGTTCTGAAAAACTACGATTGAAAACTAAAATTACGTTTTCGGAGGGACAGTGGAGAGCATTTCTGATCAAAATGAGTTATTCCATCTTTAAAACTGTACTATAGTTTTTACTAGGGATCTACACCTCGGTTCCTCATCACATCAACTCCGAAATACGGAAGAATTTCACTTGATCAGCTTTCGAATCATTCTGTTCATTTCTTCACATTTCCTGATATCCTACGCGGTCGAGTTTATTATCAGGCGTTTAGTACAGACAATGAGGTAAGTGGTTATTCGCGTGTTTTTGTAATCGTGGAAAACAAAATTAGATAGAAAATTCGAAAAAAAACGTGTAATTTAGAAAACAAACATCATTGGAAAATGCTACTATGCAAAGCTTACATATCGATTGAATCGCTTCATAAGTCAAAATGCCTTTTTTCGGTTTCACTAATCGTCTCACCACTGTCATTCCCATACATAGTACTTGGAACTTTTACTACACATTGTCCTTTAATCGATGAAGTAATAATTAGAGGTAATACATTCTCAACTGTGACTTATTAAGGGCGCATGTAGCGCACTGGTCGTGGGTGCTCTGCAGTATACAGATCCCCTCGCCCAACCCGAGGCCCTAAACCTTCCATCCCTCTCTGGTCGGCGAATTGCTACCGAACTTGTCTGGGAGGATAGCAGTACTGGCTGGATACATCGGTAGGCCACCGCGAGTCATTCTATAGGTCAAATATGCATTCATTCACCTCCAACGATGCTCAATGAAGTCGAATACATGGCGCATCCCTCAGGGATTGAGCACCACAATCCATTTTTTTGGTTTGGAGATTGGGATTTGGTAGCAACACTGGAAGCTTTATCCTTTATCCTTTAACTGTGACTTATTAAGCTACCGGCACCGTAACGATGACTGTTTTTCGAACACAATTTGTCTAGATGAGATGAAGCTAGTTCTTGCTTCTACCAGTTTATATGTTCATTAGCTGATTTGTTTCTAGACTGTCTTACAGGTCACCGAAAATATTGAACTAGAAGTACGTGCCGACAGCGTGCAGCCGGCTCGTCTTGTGCTACCGATCACCATTATTCCAAATGACGGTGAAGTACACGAACCAACCCGTACGGATGAGGCGGATACCGATGAAGCCGAAGAGGCTCATGTTGAAAGGCCGCATTTCTCCCGAATTCGGGATCAAGTACTGGTCTGTTCCCATTGATACACTGTTATATTGACCCACAACTTGTAACGAAATAGCGGCGGAATGTAGCGGTTCAGATTGATGTAGAATAATAGCAACGCGAGTCTTTTGGCTGCAGTGTTGATCTACCGACCTCAAACTTGGGTAATTAAACCTTCAATACATAAATACAACATTGATAGCATAATAGTAACGATAGAGAAGTAATGGTAGGGGAATGATGCGAGTTAAAGCTCTGAGGTGCTAAGGATAGTGAAGTGAGGCTTACAACGAAACAATGGCATTCAAACATTATTATACCATTAATAACAATAATAATGAGATTACAACGAAGTAGCCGTTGGTTAGCCGTGAGCGATGCCGCACCGCGTCTATCCACGGCCGGTGCGGCGGCTGAGGGAGACAGTATGCTGAAGCGGAGAGGGTTACAGACTAGCCCTGCTTCGGCTGAGCTGAGATTTCAGCATTATAGCGATGAGGTGCATTTTAGTGGATCGATGGGGACAGTAAGTTACATGAGCGTTGACGGTGCTATGGGCAGTGAATGATGAGTCATCTACGGAACACAGCCAAGCGGCTGGTCTTGGATAACGCTGTGTCAGCATCGTGAACTTTGAGCATCGATGGGTGCCACCATTGCCTAAGAGTCTATGATAATGGTTGAAACTGATAAGCCTATACCGGCTTAACAGAATACATAGCATAAGTTTGCCGCTCAGCGGCATTGTACGCATTGCGTACATTATGAGAGAAATGGTACATGCCACTGATGGCGTTGCAAACAGAACGCATTTGGAAACACCCGCCACTACTGACATCGCACCGTAGACAAGTTAAGAAACAATATACAATAATCTACTGATTACTGAATGTTAATGTGTGAATGAATGTGAATGAATGTGAATGAATGTGAATGAATGTGAATGAATGTAAAAGAATGAGAAAGTTGAGGTGATTGAGGATGATTAGGAATGATATTGTGAGGAGCGGATTATCCGCGCTACCGATCGAGTGTAAGGTGACTGATGGTATATCTCCGCCGTCGAAGGCACCTGGCTTATATTGGCTGCGGGAGCTGCGTGCGTATGAAATCGCGGCTAACCTGAATTGTTGATCCTGGACCGCAGTAGACTGTACCTAACTGCCTGAAATATCAAACGTCATTGGCTTCGTTGTTTCGCAAGGATGTAGTAAACTGTTCCACTGTTACGCCTCCTTCGGATAAGCTATCGTTGGTGTGCTACTGAAGTCAAACCTGAATCGCTATTAAGCCTGAAACACTGAACATGATTGATCGAGAAGATTACAAAAGTTACATTGCGGTGCTTGATGTGCGACTGCGAGGCGGCCATATATGAACATCAAATACTTAACAATCATGGACCATCGACTCGGATCACCGGTTCTGAGGAAGACGAAGACGTCGAAACGTTAGCCGAAAATAAATATATTTATCAACCTCGTACAAGCTTATCAAGAAAGAATGCATATTGATTAGTCACACTGAGGTTCAGGGAAAGTCGGTTTCGAAATATCAAATACTATTGTCTAGGAAGATAGAGAACTTTTCCATAGAAAAGTTCTCTATACAAGTATTGTCTTATAATCGTTTTTTTTCATCTTCTCATTTTTTCTCATTAATATTTATTCGCATTCGTATTTTGGACGTATGTTTGTGATTTCGTTGTGCCATTTTCGGAAATAGAATCCTACGCTCCACACTTTTAGGTTATCATCCTGTTATCACTGTTGACTTTTACCGTGTTCGTACTGGTGTGTCGTCATCGAAGGAAGTGCAAATCTAGTACACTATCGTCTCCTGCACCACAGACTCCATCACCGAATACATCACTTTTAGAAAAACCCGATCTGCTTGGTAGGATCTTCGATTTCGTACTGATAATCAAAGTTTCCTAAAAGCGTAAATTTGAAGTCGCTTAAACGTAGAAATGTTCTGCGGTTTATGCTGGGGGCGCTTTTTCATTGAGGTCAACAAGTTTTCTTTGTTTTAGTCTTTTCTCTCTCTTTCATTTGCTCCTTGCTTCATATACCGTGACCCAACTCGGAATTTTCGCCCATAATTTATCTCCTTTTACCCAAAAGTTTTGTCCTGAACTTGTACTTCTGCACCTTTTATTGTCTTCTGGTTAGAAATTAAGCAAATTTAGACCATACAATACTACAAGACATCAAAGTGTCTTTACGGTCTTTATAAGGAAATATTCCATAAACTGGATGCTTCAATCAATAAAATTTTTTCAATAGATGTTTCTTCTGCCCATCTTCTTTTATCATTTAGGTGGCGATAATTAACGGCAGAACTTTATCTTGTATTGCTTGTTGAATGCAACCATAGTGACGCTGAGATATTTGCAAAACTTAGACCATAGGCCATATCCACATGAACCCCAAGGAAGGGTAACCAGGAGTTCGAATCTAGATTCTGGACCAAGGTCTAACTTCTGCAAATCTCTAGGCATCGTTCTGGTTGTATTTCACATAATACCTTGCCGTGAAGAAAAACAATAGGTACTAAACATAAACTTAAACATTGTATTGTTTGGTCTTTTGACAAATGTCAGGTTTTTTAGAACATTTGAGCACTTTCTTAAAATCATGACTCCATTCATTACTGTGTCCACTATAGAACTATCTTGGTTCGATGAGAAACCATCGATAATTGTTTAGTCGGAATAAAAGGAAAATAATAGAAGTAACTTTGAATGAATTTCCTCCAATATTTCTTCTCTTGAGTTCAGGCTCAACCGTGTTCGCATCGGTCGGCAAATCGGACATTCCACGACAACCGATGAAAACATTCGAACGGAAGGTGATTACACCACTCAGCAAACGGTTAGTTCGCCAAATTTGATTTTGATACGTTGGACGGAGTACGCTCTCACTCGCTGATATCACCTTTCTCGTACCACCATTCTCCGTTGATCGCGCAGCTGCGAGTAATCTGCTTTAAAATTGGTTCACTGGGAATCGTCAGGGATAATTTTGCTCTTCCGGAGGCCGGAATTCAGGATCTGGACAAGTTACAGCTTCATCAGAGCGGCACTGGTCTCACTATTACTACGAAATAAATGTGATGGAGTTTCTTCTATTCTACAAAACCATCATGCTTTCGGTGTGGAATACTGCCCTATTCATTGGAATGCAAAAATTTTTGGTGGTCCTCTTGTGCTTACGAATCTATCTGTCTGTTTTAAAGGTTCATAGTTCATATTCACGAATTCTGCATAAATGACAAGATTTTTGTTGGTTAGCATGTAACCGTTTGACTGAGCAAGCTCGTTTTGTTCTGGACTCCCGTGCTAATCCTGCGAAGGCGTGCTCAGATGGAGACAGACCCACAGCCGCTATTACTACCACTATTGTCGATCAAAGCGTGTCTGACATTTTGCGATTCGTTTTCTTCGAGGATAGTAGCGAATTTTGGCATTAGCGAATCACAAAGGGGCTTCTTGATGAAAACATGGAAGTCATTCTTAGTTCAAGAGGACCAACTATGGAGATGGGCGGTGTACCTCGTATCTCGGCATTCAGAAATATCCATCGGTCATCTCGTAGCGGTGAACCACAATGCTGTTGCACATACTTTGGAAGTTATTAAAATAGTGCAGATACAAAGTTGACAATAATTTAATATTGTCCGATAAGCAAAAGTTTTGATATATTTTCAGAAGAGTAACATAACTTTAGGCGCGGATAGCGCTGTGGTCGCAGGCGCCTTGTAATACACATGGGATCGATCCCACCCCCAAGGCTCACCAGGCATTCCCTTCTTCCGGGGTAAGCAGATGGGTGCCGGACTTGTCTGAGAGGATAGCAGCACTTGCTCTATACATCGGTGGGCCACTGCGAGTCATTGTTAAGGCCAGATATGCATTCAATCACCTCCAACGATGCTTAATGAAGTCGAATGTATGGTGCATCCTTCAAGAATTGATCAGCGTCGAGAACTCTATGCTTTTATTATCTTTAATGTAACTTTAAGTGCTATTGCCAAAAAAATCGAAATCAGTGACAAACCATTCATATTCAGATAGAATATTCACCATTTAGGCGGCACCAACCCACACTTGATTACGCTGGTTTGGCGACCGACACACCTCCACCGATGCCGCTTTTCAAGCAAGTGACCGCTCAACGATCGGATGCCCAGCATTGGGTGTAAACAAGGTTATCCCAAAAGCGTTGAGCGTCTGAGAACTACCGTTCGATTCAAATAATCTCCTTTATATTCTGGAAGCTGTCGCGTAGGAACTTACATTGGAATTCGTAAATCGACTGCTAATGTGACAAGCTACGCGGTGGCGTCGCGGTCGCATGGTGGTCGCGTTGTGTTAATACAATCACTGAGTGCCTTTCGATCTTCTGTTATTACCAGTACTAGCCTTTTTTCTTTCAACTTCTCGCACACGAGAAACTCTTTGTAAATGTGACGCGGAAAGAAATGCCTAGCGTCGATTTTGTGTTCATGGATATCATCAATGTTGTGATACAGCCCGTCTATCCGTAATCCGGACGGGATTCGCCGCGAATATTTCTAAACGAAGCATTCCTCCATTTTCTCTTTCATTTTAGTCTTTTCATGCCGTATAGCCTTGTATGCTTCAAACTAATTTTAAGAAAATTGGACACCTACGGAACTCTATAAAGGTATTAAAATTTCTGTCAAACGTTTCCGAAAAACTTTCTTCTACAGGGAAGACCGAGTTCGACTCAGTAACCAGACACTCATGTGAGTCGAATCATCTGTTGTTTGTTGATCTTCCTTATCAAACTTATCAGACCTGGGACAAGCAGTAATCTAAGTATCTCACGAGAAATTAGCTTACGATAGTTGACAGTGATCAGAGTTAGTCAAAAGTGAAGCTCAGAGAAGAACGTCTCTATTTTCTACATGATTAATGAGTTATCACTACACTGACAACGCTCTAATTTCCCACCAAGGCGTCAAATTGGATACGTCAAAGTGGTGAACGTAAACAATTTCCACCTTGGTACATGAACGTCCGGTTCTCACTGTCTGTGCGGGCTCCAGCAAAATCTTCATTTTTCGAAGATTTGCTGCTCAAGCCATTGTGGTTCCCTGGAATCCCGATATCAACATGGCCAAGGTCTCCCCCAGGTTTTCACCACCACAGGTAGTCGCAGCCCTTGTGGATCAGAGGGAGATTTGCCACTATGCGACTTTGATACCAGGACGGTGGGGGATCCTGGTATTTCCACCTAATGGAGCTTTTCCATCACTGGCACCGATAAGATATGCGGTAGCTCCTCAGAAAGCAATAATGCTTCGATTGTCTTTCTGCACAGAATAAAACGACAATCATGAATATTTGTACATTTATTAATAACAATATGTATATAACTGAAATGCCGATGTTGAACACTGGACACCTGACGGCGAAGATCATAAAACTGTACAGGATTTGAATATAATCTAACAGTAGTTGTGAAAACTGTGGGAAAACCTACGGGGAACAGCCGTACGTAACTTACGTAGTAAGTACATAAGTACGTACGTAACATCCGAAAGCGGCGGTAAGGGTGATGGGTCTGCCCTAGTGATGGAGGGTGCTGGATATCGAACCGCCAGTGATTTAGCTGAGTCTGAAAATTCGGCTACATAGGGACATTATTGGTATTCTATTGTTCATTACTCATTTCTGTTGACACAAGTTTTCCAGAAGATGGAATGCGTAGCAAATTGACAATTTGCAAACAAATTGATTTGGCTCATTTGCGGTTGTAAAGGAAGTAACAAAACTAAGATGTGCTTCAGATGACCAGGATATGTCCGCATTTAGCCGATTTTTCGAGTTATGCTCGTTTCTAAGATAGTGATCGCACCGGTGATCGATTTAATTTGGTGGATTCTCCTCTTACTGGTGGCGATGAAGTGATGCACCATCCACCTGTGCAATTACGAGACTCATAGGACTCTCCTGAAATAATTTAATCGGAAACGGAACACGGAATTTTTCAATTGTTAGCAAGCATTTTTTTATTTATTGATGTGATCTTGCTGGAGAATACGTTCTGAGATTGAATGACATCCTTAGGAATAACTCGCTTCTTTTGCAGAAGTCCCCACCGCAGACACCTGCGGTGGGGAATGAACGCGCTATTACCCCTTCCGGGGTCTAACGCGTTCGTCATCACACCATGGCTGGTCCTTCGTTTCACTTGTCTCTCAGCTAGTTCTATCAACTGGTGCCGTGAAAAATTATAGAAGGCAGCAAATAAAGATGTTAGCATTCTGACTCGCTTCTATATAGCGATGGGTGTGTTTGTTGTCAGCGGTAAATGACGAGTTGGCACAGAGGAAACTCTCACCACTCACCATTCACCACAATCACAAAGCGGGTGAATAACACATTTGCGACAGTTTGGAACTATACGTCCAAACATGGCGGCGCGAATGGACGATTTAGACGTGTAATCTTCATTTTCAGTTCAGTGGATTATAGAATTTTTCACTGTGTGTATTCATTCGGTAGCTAACTGAAAGCAGATCAATGTATGAGGGGTGAATCGGAAAGGCCATTCTCTAGGTCTAATAAATTCCAATAAAACTTTTTTCGGACTGGTTCACTGACCGGCAAGTTGACTAACGGTTAATCGTTTCATTTTAATTGTTATAATGTCTTGTTCCCAAGCTCTCGAGTGGTCCATTTATCGAAGATCTCTTGTTTATTACGAAAAAAACATTTTCATAAAAGCCTAGGACTAGGTATCGTCCCAAATTGCAAGACGGCTAAACGTCAGGTGTCGCAAGTGTGTGAAGGAAGAAATTCTTCCGAGTTATGCAAGCATACCTTCGCATCCGTGACTCATAGAGCTCGAGTAGATGCATCGTCTCGTACGAACTTGCTTGTCACAGAAGCAATCGCCCCATTCACTCCAATCTGACCATCGAGATACTGAAATATCGCAAGATACGATCCATTAAGTCAAGAAGGTTTCAAAAGACAATCCACAATATTTTCCTTTTGACGTAGACATAGTCTTGATAAGATCACCCTCTTGTACTGTCATTTAATCTATTCACCCTTTTTCTACCTCAACAAAAATCGTATCGTTTTTTATCACATCATCGCTAAATAAAGACTCGAAGTTTTACTTCTGGTGAATTGCAGTGTGGTTAGCATTAGATGAGTCCCACTCATAACAGCACGGCTCTGAGGAAAGCGAAATCATCGAAGCGTCAGCGATCGACCAACAACAACAACAATGACAACGAAGACCTATACCAACCTCGCATTGGCTCAAGAAGATCATTTTGTTAGATCATATAAATAAAGGTTTATAGAAGGTTTATACCGAGGTTTATAGAAAGTTGGTCTTTTAAGTTAGATGAGAGATTTTAACGTACTTAGATGTGATCAACATTACACAGTCAAAACTTCTGTTTAATTCCCATTTTTTCATGGAAGGGTACAATGTGAACTACAACCATAGGAATGTTGGGATAAGTGTAAAACTCGGAACCTCAGCTAGGCTTCAAACATGTGATTACCCAAAACCGCGCGCTCACGTTCTCTTCACCACGCCAAGCGAGACCATTGTTTTACCTTTCTCACTGGATAAAAGTTATGTTTTGACTACAGCTTCAGCTTAACTGGATTCAATGCCAATTTGTGCCTCCTATCAATTTCGTTGATGAATGATCGCTGATAGCGCCGAAGGAGTAAAAAACGGGCTACAAGAAAAGTGAGGTTAGACTCTCGGATGGTGTGGTGGACAGCACTTGAGTCCACAGCAAGGGTAATCGCCGGTTCGGTCCTGTTAGAGGTTCCGAGATAATTTTATAAAGTTGTAATCTTATTTAACAGGGATGAATTTAACCATATATCGTGCTTCATTTCTGCATTGCATTTTCATTATTTTTTCTTAAATGAAAGAAGAGTGGTATTATGTTCGAAATTAGCTAAACATCTCATGTTGGCAATAAGCTTCACTTTTCATCGAAATCCTCATCTTTTCATCCTTTCGACATTTCATCCTATTCATCATGGTGATATGTTGGCGACGTCTCGTCGCACGTCGCCAGCTGCTGCACGGTCATTATCACCAATTCTTGCTATGTCACTCGATCTCTGAGCTATGTAAATACATCTTCACCGCCTACCAGTTAAAAGTGGATGACAGTAATTCTGAGTGCCATCTGAATAACGAAAAGTTACACACTTTCTATAGTAGTGGCAGTTTCGATGATGAAATGGATCGGTTGCTGATGGAATCCTTTATGTGATTTACTGGCCATCGATAGAAACCCGCTTTCAGAAGAAACCGATGACATGTCCAATGGCGATTCTTGATCTCTCTGAAAAAAGTGCATTCAGCGAAAGTTAACGTGGAATTAAGAGATGATATAGAGGAAATCTGTTGCACTAATGGTTTTTGCCTCTTATAATTGGATGACTCAGAGACAAACACTAAATGTTTGAATACTCCTCAATAGATCCGGCTTCCAGCCGTTCTTTGCTAAACTGTGTTTTTCTTCGAATATGTAACTGATTTCGTTGATATCGTCCCATGATGTTGGTTGGAAGGTTTATTCCCCTAACGTTTCGACGACTTCGTCTTCATCAAAGCCGATGATCCGAGTCGATGGTCCACAGCCGAATAAACCTCGTGTAGGCTCAAAAACTTAAACCTGTTAATTTGTCATATCGAGGTTAAATGAAGGTGTGTTTTTGAAATATCGATTGAAATTTTTTCTTATTCTGTAAAAACAACTACCTATGAAGAAAAAGCAGCCGTTAACATAGTATGATGTGGCTCCAATCGTGTAAGTGCAATCGCAAGCTCAAATGTCAGGCGATCACTAACATGCCCCTTATGTCTTTTATTTGGCTGAGCAGTTTTTGTTACAAGTAACTCGTCACAAGAACGAAATGACGATTCAATTTTGAAGTTTTGAACTGTACAGAATACAATGACTTCAGCGAATACGTGAGTTGTATGAGTAGTGAAACAGTATTTGTGTGAAACAATCACAGTGATGCTGAGATATTTGCAAACTCCGCACCGCAGGTGTCTACGATGGGGAACGAACGCGCTATTTCCCATTCCGGAGACTAACGCGTTCACCACCACACCATACGGTGAAAAAATTGTTTCGAATTTTTTCATTTTGACGGGAATAATACTAAGAATTATTGCAACGTCTACCGTTGTGCCACTGATACGCGCAGCCTTCACAACTACAGCAGCGACGACAAATGAACACAGCTTGGAACGTCGTCCTCAATGTCGACAGGGCGTTTACGATGATCGTTAAATGAATCCATCCTGATACAAACGAGGATGGACTCTGAATGGAATCGAATAACTCGACGACTCGACTGAGTATGGACTACCGTCCATTCGGTGTCCGCTCATAATGATTGAGACGTACGACCGGAACGACTTCAACCTGGCAGAAACACCGTAATAACGGAGAAGCAGAGCTGTAGTATCTTATTCTAACGTTTAGCGACCGTGAACTTCTACTGTCCTATCAGCTGGCGTCGACCGGAGAGTTCATCCTAGGTAACAACTCTAAGTGAGTGCTATCGCATGTGCAGCGTTAAAATCCAGACATTCCCTTCTTGACTGACTATCTCTCCACTAGAAAACGCTCAACTAGGACGAAAATAAGGTACACTTTGAGGTAGAGACCATGTTCAAGGAGTTCAACGACATGAAAAAGATTGGGCTGCACGCGAATGCAAAGATTTCCTATTCCACGAAAAACGCGTGTTGGGAAGATCATCCTCTGATTAAATATACTACATCATAAGTGCACTCAGAGCAAATTTTAAACTCCGACTTTCAAGGATTTGTAAAGATCTCGTGTAAGCTTAGTAAAAAAAAAAGCAAGCAGAACACTGATTATTTATGCTGGAGTTCAGTGAAATTCAGAAATGAAATTTTGCTTTCCTATATGCCAGGCAATTCTAAACCGGCTGCGACAAAACGATTCATTCGATTCGTTACAAGGGAAAAAATAACACTAATGTTTAATCACAATCTTAACCCTTTTATTAACTGCCTTTTCTCCTTAATGGCAGGGTATGTTGCGAAATATAACTCGTATGTAATGCTGAGATACTTGCAAAACTCCGGACCGCAGGTGTATGCGGTGGGGAACGAACACGAACTAGCTGAGAGACAGGCAAAACGAAGGACCCGGATAGTGTGGTGGTGAAGTGCGCTGCCCCCCGGTAAGGACAACAGCGTGTGTTCGTTCTACACCGCATACACCTGCGGTCCGGAGTTTTGCAAATATCTCAGCATTACATACTAATGTTTAACCTCTATTTACTGCCCATTCTTTTTTCACGGTAAGGTATTGTTTGAAATAAAATGACAAGGATGTTGGACATGAGCAACACTCGGAACCTCAAGTAGACTCCGAACTCGCGATTACTCTTACTGGAGGTTAAAAACATAGGCTGAGAGAAATACGAGGCAAGGGTTCCGGTTGATGTGCTGGATAGCACTTAAGCCTCCGGAAAGGGTGATTGCTGGTTCCAAGCCCACCTGAGGTCTTGGGTTTTGCTCATATCTCAGCAACCTCATGGTTATATATTACAAATGATTTTGGCTGGTAATTGACTAAGGACCGTCCTATACCCTGTTGAACTCCCGGGTGAGGCTACGTCACCTCAGGGCAGCTAGAATCCTGTATAAAGTGGCAGTCCTGGGTGACGCTACTTCGCTCATGGGATGTTCCACTCTACTCGACTGGACTCGATGTGACGACTACGAAGATCCATATTGCAAGAGGAAGCAACTGATTTGGGCATTCGACCCCAGTCACTGCGACTCTGAGGAAAGCGACACTTCCAAAATGGCAGTGATAATAGATATTTTTGACAACCTTCTGTAGACCGTCAATAAACCTTAACATTTTATCCAGGGCGATCAATGAATGTGTAAAACGCGAAATGAAGGGCGAATTGCGTAGCGAGGAAGCAGCATGAGCCTACTCCGCTCGTCTATAAGAAGGCAACGATTAATTGACTTAACGACCAAAATCTCAGAGAACATCTTTTGAGTCGTGGACTGATCCGACGTCTACTGTTGATGAAGCGTTTAACGTCCTCCGATTTGATGAATGTGGATCCGAAGAGTAATGAGGTATGGTATCAATTTTCTTGTTCTTTAACAATATGAATGTAAAACGTAAAAACAAGTAAACCATAAATAGTAAAAGAATTTTGCCTCATTTAGCACCCAACTAAACGGTATTTCTATTTGTTCACAAGGAATCTTCTTCTTTCCCATTTAGAAAGGATTCCTTCCATTTTCAAAAAAAGAGACTAACCACAATAGGAAAGCTTCTTGGTAATAACTGTTTGGTGGATGAACTGCTCCCATGTATATCAACGGTGCTGTCCACATTGTGGTCGAATTTCTACAAAAGAAACCTAATTCCAACATACATTACTGTTATTCATTTTCTTCCTTGCAAAGCTGTGATCCTCCTAGCGGTTTACCGCTTGCCCCATCGTAGTTGGGAGGTGTTCCTGGGTGTCGAGGGCATGCGATGAGCGGTTCATGGGTGATGTCGCGGTGTCGGACTGCGATGTGCAGCCGATGTATTCATCGATATCATCAGGGCCTCCCAAGTGAGAATGAGTTCGGCATTCTTATAAGGAACCCCAGCTAACAGTAAACCAATGCCAGCATCAACCACCGCCCTGGTATCAAAGTCGCATTGTGGCAAATCTCGCTCTAATCCACAAGGGCTGCGGCTGCTTGTGGTGGTGAAGACTTGGGGCAGACTTTAGCCAGGCTGATTTCTGGATTCCAGGAAATTACAATGGCTTAACCAGCAAATCTCGGGGAAAATGAAAATTATGCTACAACCCGCATAACCAGTCAAGATGGGTCATCCAATTACCCAAGTAAGTGAAAGCTATGATCAAATAGGAAAAGACGAAAAGTGAAGGAAAAATTAAAACTAGAAGATAACACGAAACGAAGGAAAAATTTACAGAGTAAAAATAGAGGTAGTCACACCGCATCCCTGGATGATCATGAAAACTTGAGCATGACAAAAATTTCAACAAACTACCTGTGAAGAAGAGTCGATCACTGCTGGCTTTGTTCCTTCATCGTGTAGCGTTCCGTTATGCGCCTCTTCCACTTCCTTTTCTAAGCTCATCATCATAGTCTTCAAATAGAAAGCACTGCAGGTGAAACTTTGATATGCCTACACAATTTGATTTCGTCGATAAGATTACTGTGGAATCGGACCAATTGGTGATCATTTTCTCATTTGGGAAATCTATAAAGAACTGAAGAACCGTCTCCGAACTCTTTATATAAGAGGAAAGACATTCTTGACAAAAAGTCACGTTAAAAATCCAACTTTTCGTTTCTGATCAAAAGGCTGGTAATGAAATATAATCAGTACCTCCAATGCTATGATTTCTTCTAGAAGTTGAGCAGATTTCACATCATTCTCAGTAGTAGAATCGGCTATTGGACTCTGGATAAAAGCTACTGAGTTGATGTCACTTCTATCATCCGTGATTTTCGTTAATCATTAAGTAGCCCGAATGTGCTTCGCCAAATTTGGGCTACTGACTTTTGACGGTTAACGCGGCTAAGTAATATAGCGCGACAGGCACAATCCATAATCTTATCCATCTAATCCATAATCCGTATTCCTATCCTGATCATATCATGCAATATCAACGAAAACCAAGGTGAAAAAGCATTTCTACTCATGAGCTGGTCGATCACGCCTAGAGCTCTAGCCTTCTATCCCTTTATAGCCATTGTAAGCTTTTTTTGCATTCTTGTTGTGTTTTTCAAACAGTCATAGAGGAATTTGACGAGGAGAAACGATGCAGTTGAAAATCGAAAGTCCTTTCGAAAAGACGTTCTTCACAATTGGTTTTCCTTAAGATTTTGTAGAATAGCTGTTACCTGTTGAGAGTCAAAGGCGTTCGGCGGCTCATTCCGATCAAATTTCTCCTTATCGTCGATCAGCGTTCGGAAACCGAACGATCGAGCTTGGCTCACTTCTGTGATTCGTCTTCGAAATTTCGGAAACTGAAATTCCATAGGCATCTTAAGGGTTTAGTAATAATACAGTAATAACTGCTATCTATGGTAGGCTGATCTTGGGATTCCAGGAAAGCACAAAGGCTTAACCAGCAAATCTCCGGAAAATAGAGATTATGCGAGGGCTCGCACTACCACTGAGGACGGGCCATTCAAGTACCAAGTAATAACTGCTATAGTGATAGTATTTATGGTTACGATACGGTAATTGTAATACAACGAGTGCTATTAACGAGAAACTTATGACAGTTAGATTATGAGGCTCTCATCAGAAGGAAGCACAAAAACGTTTTCCAATAAATTTATTTGTGTGATCTTATAAACTGATCTTCTTAAGCTGACGCGAGTTTGGCACAGGTACAAGATCTGTACCAACCTCGGGTCAGTTTAAGAAGAACAGTTTATAAGATCACAAATAAATATATCAACTATCTATGCCGAGGTTTATAGAAAGTCAGCCTTTCGAGTTTTCCAATAAACCTGAAAAAAATTGTTAATAAATAAGTGGTGTCGATCACCTGGTGTAGCGTCAAGTCTTTCACAACCTATGAATTTCGCCGGAAAAAAAGGATACCGGGATCGACAGTCCAGAGTGACACATGCGAAGTAAAAAGTGTTTCAAGTTTTTTTTAATAAATTCTCACCATTTTTGTCTTGTCCACGATGTGAAGTGGCTTGAATTCACCGAAATGTACTCGAATATCAGAGCTTTTCGATAGGTTCTTTCGTGTCTTCGATAGCCCCTTTCGTCGAGATTTCCTTATCTTAAGGTACTTTCTATCATTGAAACGTTTTCATTTAAAATATTAAAGCAAACGTTCCGCGATAAGGGATAAAAGGCTAGAGCTCTAGGCGTTTATAAATCCGCGAAGGATGCGTCATGCATTTAGCTTCATTAAGGATCGTTAGAGGTGATTGAACGCACATGTCGCCTATACAATGACTCGCGGTGGACTGCCGATGTATCGAGGTAATGCTGCTATCCTCCTATGCTAGTCTGGTACCAGTTCGCCAACCATGGGGGATTGAAGGCTTAGCCTGGGGAGGGGATCGAACACATGTGTATTGTTGGGCACCTCTATCCATTGCGCAAGACACACTCTTTTCATGATACTTCATTATTTTCACCACATAAGCTCTCATTTTCTTTACTGTTCTCCTACATATAAATAGTCCATTTGAAAGGACGACCTAGCAGCAGAGTATCTTTCAGAGATTCAAATTCCTACGAATTTTTAACAAAACAAGGATATAATTCCTATAACATTTAGCTCGACATTCGAATGGCCAGGTTTACGATGCTAAAAAAATTTATGTAAATGTAAGACGTCACTAAAGGCAGTCGCCAGCCTCTCACGGATGAAAGAGTTTTGCTACGCATTGACTAGGCTTCTGTTCACTATGGGTGGGGTACCGCGTTCATACTTTGCGCTCTTGTCCATCTCCAGACAAGCCTGCTTATGAAGATAAACGAACTCATCTAACCCAAATCTTAGACAAGGTACCAACAACAGAGGGCTTCGAGGTTTCAATTCAGTACCGTAGTATTGAGCGAACCAATGGTAAGAAGTTGTCGAATCATTCACACATAATTCGTTACAAATCGGCATATCTCCCTATGTGTTTGTTGATGTGTTCTTGTGGTGACGAAAAGTGAAATGTCTTGCAGTACGTCAGACAACTGAAGAAAATTGTGTAGCAGACATAAAGGAGAATGATAAAGCTCATGGCGCTATTGCTCTAGGATAGACCTTCATGATGCACCGTGCATTTGACTTCATTAAGCTTCATCTGACTTAGAGCTGACTAAATGGATATTTGACCTATAGAATAGCTTGGCAGCGCTTTCAAATGCACTGTTCAGTGTTTTCTCCTCTCATAATGGTCTAGAGCTAGCCCATTAAGGATAGGAATCCCAGTTGCCCTTGGGCGAAGGATTGTACTTGTGGCCGTGTATAGGCTGTAGGAAACCTTTAATCAATGCGCTATAGGCTTCCATGTTGGCAATCATCCCATTAACGAATAAGTACTTAAAAAACGTTAGTTTCTGATAGTGGGCAAAGATGTGAATAAAATAGCGTTGAAAAATCACCACTCACTTTCTTCAACATTCGCGATTTTCCGATCTTTGGCCCATTAGTGCTCATCATTGGCACTACAATCTCAGCCGGTTCCGTTGTGCTGATTATGCTCATTACTGGGACTACGATCTCTGCTGCTTCCGTTGTACTGATAGGCTTAAGAACATAAGGTTACGACAAGAAGGCTCGGTTTGAACAAGGAGGAAATCAAACCTGGTCAATAAGCGGGTTCTCCTTAATCACACCGGAATCGAGGCTACCCGATGGCCTAAACTCCACAGTAATTATGAATGTGACTCGTTCAATTCTATTCTTTGCATCTATGTTCTAGCATAAATAAACTATGTTCGGTTTATCAAGTAGGGTAAAAACCTTGTTGAACGAGCGATTGTGCACTTGCTACGTGCTTACCTCATAGATAGTTCATCGTCACGCTCGGAGATGTCGGTAATATTCTGTAACATCCAGTCCAGTGCGTTCAATGTTTCAATCGACGTCTTCTATAAGCGTTCTTCATTTTGGTTCGTTTTCTAATTCTTCTGTGACTTTTCTAAGGAAGCCTTTCCGTTACAAGAAGAGTTCTGCTCTTTAGATTTATTTTCGTTATATTCATCTGTCTAGCACCATCATGTCGATTTTCTAAAGAATACTGACTACACAAACATAAGTCGAACACAGTACCGGCGAGAACTCATTGTCATGAAGGCTCGACTTTGGTTTTACAGTCACTTCGCCGGAATGAACATGACGTTTTTCCGACGGTATAAATTTTCGGACTTTGAATCCGGTGATTCCGAAGCCTAAACATCGCAAAAGACGGTTTAAAAAAGCGCAGTAATAGCATTTTAAACAAATTTCTTTTGAATAGTTAATTTAAACCGAAAGCCATGAGGTGTCTAGTTTCTAAGACCTCTGCAAAGTTTTCAGTATGTTAGACTTTTATCTACCGTTTTTCTTTTTCCATAGTAAAATATTATGTGAAATACAACCACAAGGATGCTGAGGATATGAGCAAAACTGGGAACCTTAGTTGGGCTTCGAAACCAGGATTACCTTTACAGGCTGCACATGTGCTATAAACAACACCAATCGAGGCTTCGAAGCTCTTCCATTGCCTTCCTCTCAATCAACTTCTTACTCTATCGATGCAATTATAAGCAATTATCCGTCAATAGAAATGCAGCTGCACCTTAACCTTAACTGGGTTCAATGCCGATTTGCGCTACGCAGATAATTCTTGTTGCGGCGCGATTACTGATAGCACCGCCGGAGTAAAAACTGCCCAAGAGTTTTCAATGGCTTACTGTATGTTGCTGCTTCTTGTCTATGTACTGCATTTAGAGGCAATGGAAGAAACTTTTTATCACTAAGTAAATGAGAGAGTGTGCCATTGAAATACGCGCAGTCGGTAAAGGTACTCTGAGGTATACACGTGGTCTTTCGCTCGATACTGCGGCGCGGTTTCACCAAGTTTTCTATCCATCCGAGGTCAGGAAATTGGCACCAATGTTGTCCGTGAGTAGCACCGATTCGATATCGGCAGGCCATGGCGAGTCATTGTATAGGCCGGATATGAATTCAATCACATCTAACGATGTCTAATGAAGGCGAATGAAAGGCGTATTTTCAAGATCAGCCCCAAACACTTTATCTTTTATCCTTTATAGAATCTATTTTAAAAACTTGCTTGTTTAGATGAATTAACCACAATCGAAGTCAAAATAACGTGAACATGAGGTGACGAAATTAATTGCCCATTTTATAATTAGCAACGTCGGACATGAAAGGCGAAGTCCTGATATTCCCTAGTTGGAGCCTCTTTTCCAAAATTCGGATTTTCAAACAGGATCTGGTTGTTACACATTCAATAGCGCACCGCACCACTGTGTCTAGGAGTGCCTCTGGTTGTTCACCGGTGACTTAGTGCGGGCCGGTCATTACCGATAGCTCTATTCAAGCCGACAGGAAGTTCGAGATTGACATCCGGAAGCTAAGAAGAAACCTGGTCCATGCCTAAGTCCAACGAACTACATGTGGCCCACCTCTTCGTTATAAACGCTCAGCAAAAACGGTTCTCTACAAAAAATGAGATGAATTAGGTGGGATCAAGCCTGAAGAATCCATTCGATAGCTCTATCAAGCAAAAAAGAATAATAGACGTTCCAAAGACTGTTTTACCACTTTCGTTGTTTATTGTACCAGCTTTGGACAACGATGTTAAAATCTGTGGTTGAGTCACAAAGCTGTCAAAGTGTTATTCGTTCAGAATAATTAAGGATTAGGGCAGTTCTACTTCATCATTTTATCTACATCACTAACACAATTAATAAATATTAGTCACTATTAGAACAAAATCGATTCGGCTTACTTTTTATCTTCTTCTTCGATGGTGGAACGAGCGGTAACTTTTTGCTGAGTCCGTACGAGTTCGCTTTCCTACTGATCTTATGTTTGATCTTTCCTTCCATTAATGATAGAAATTCACTAAAAATGAGCTTTTTTGCTTCGCTACGGTAATAAAATGCCACCGTTCCAACGCTAAGTATTTTTTGTATTTTCGAGTATTTCTAAATGAACAGACCCTTAATAAAACAATAGTAACAGTTTCTTCCATAAGCGTGCCCATCTCTATCCTCTGATGCCCTGTAACGCCGTTAACCATCAGGTCAGGTGACTCCCTCCAAATGACCAAACGACATCCATTCGTCCCGACCGGAAGTAAAATCTGTCCGGTGTCTTCTGCTTGCTCAAAGAAAGGAAGACCCTCACAGCACTCCTAAAGGGTCTTTTATTTTTACCGTTTTCGATGAGGAGTTAAGACGAGTAGCCCGCCGAGCTCAGTAATGGAACCGAGATAGTATTTGTTACAGGTGATCCTGAAAGCCTATGTAGACACTTTTAAGTGCTCAGCTAAGTCAGTCCAATAAGGACACCACTTTCCGAATTCGTTTGCATCCTAGGGCAAGAATCCATGATAGCTTTCTAGCTGCTTAACGGCCACATTGAACAGACCGCCGACCAACCTCAGATTGCCGAAAGAATTCTGCGGATTTAAAGAGGTATACGCTTACACGATAGAACGACAATAACATTTTTGTAAAGATCTAAGTATTGAATACAGAGGCTATAAAAATAACGACCGAAAAATCGACCAGTGGGGGCTTTATAGGTTGTTGAGGAATAAAAGTTGATTAGAAGTAATCTCACATCATTTGCTGTTCAGCTGTCTCAGGAAGTTTCTTGTGTGGTTTCACCAGAATGCTTAGTGGCATCAACGCAGAATTTGACAAACGAGTGGTAGTGGTGGTTGCGACCGTGGTAGTCGTGGTGGTCGTGGTGGTGGTTTTAGTAGAAGTAGAAATTCGGAAAACAGTTGGAGAAACCCGCTTCGTAATCGAACGGCCATTGATTATGCTGTTGCTCAACTGAAAGTTCCCAAAATTAGAAGTCATAGTAAACCATTTTCTATGGTTGGCTCATGGTTTACGTAGTGATTAGGCTGTTTGGAAATCTGATGTGAGATCATCGAGGAGCGCGGGAAAATGGTCTGAGAAGTTTTTATTGAAACATTAGACATATAGGAAGGGTTTCACGAACAACGTCTAGTGCAACATATATATGAAATAGGCATATAAATTGAATACGAAGAGTACAAGAAAAAAGCGCATTGTGATAATACAAACCGCCAGACAGAATGTGCATTGAAATCAATTCACATTGTCCATTTTTTCCGCCTTTGTAAGCATTAATATCATTCACGTTCGCGGTCACTTTTCTATTGATGAAACATGGGATAAGCAAATCTTAAATAAATAGATGAGTAAATGATAAACAGAGGAGTGTTAACCGTCACCTTTCGTTCAACAGGTTGAGGTCGGGTACTGAACTTCTCGAAAGTGTTTTTGGCATCAGAAGGGCCGGTTTTTCGTTTAGGATCTAAATAATCGCTTTAATTTCCTACTGAGCATTAGACGAAATACGCAGGCATATTTAACATAATTAGAGAAGCATAGGAACTGGGGCTTGTTTGATGCAGTGGTTGGAGGCGCCCTGCAACACACACGTGGAATCGATCCTTGTGCCCATGGTTCGCCAAGCCTTCCATTCCTTGAGGCTTGGCAAATTGGTACCAGACTTGTCTGGAAGGATAGCAACACTAGCTCGATACATTGGTAGGCCACATGCATTCAATCACCTCCAACGATACTTAATAAAGTCGAATGCATGGCACATCCCTTAGCGATTAATCAACTCCGAGAGCTTTTAGAGGTTTATAAAAGCATGGAAAAATAAAAGCGTAAGAATGAAGCATGCAATTAGCACAGGTGAAAATATAGCAACAAAACAACGTATTATATCAAGAATCTTCAGGGATACATTGGAAAGTACGAATGGAATAAAAATTGTTGCAAAATCAGTAGATTTATTTTGTTGCTAAAAAGAAACGAGACCACTTACCGTTCTTCTCCACCACCTCCATCAATTCCTCGCCGCCCAGCTGCTTTTGACTACCAGCGGCTGCAATCTGAAATGGTATTGTTTTAAGTTACAAAGAAGAAATGAAGCCAACCGCTTGGACAGAGTCGCATAGCCCACATTGTTATTGCCGCCCAGAAATTTGGAATCCGTGATATCCACATGACCGCCCCATTCAGAAAAATCGCCCGATTTCTTCTAAAATATTCACATTTTTCGGCTTCAACAACTAAAAAGACGAAAATTTACGCTTGTTCTTCAGGCTCTACTTTTATTTTATCACCAAATTTTAAGTTTTTCGTTCACCAAAACCAGAACCACCTTTCACATACGGCAAATCTCTAACGAGACATTCTAGTAAATTCTATTAGGTGGCTTGGTTGCGCGCTTATGTATGTCAACTATTCAATACTAATGTTCAATCCCGCTGATGGGTGTTTGCTGATGACAGCGCTAGGTAGAAAATTAGCTGAGACAAACGCAGAGCAAGGGCCTCCGTGGCGCAGTGTGTAATGCGCAAGCCTCCGGAAAGGAAAATTGTGGTTCAATCTGGCCTTGGGTCCAGGTTTTGCGAATATCTCAGCATCGCTGTGGTTGTATCCGATAGCAGTTGATTACTAGAAGTACATATGAAAACAGTTTTATGGCACATGGTTAGCAGGACAACTTCACATTAGAAATATATAGCCATTCAAATGCTCAGTAAATCAATACCGGACCGTTTCATTGGTGACGCTGGCGAGGATCACCATTGGAGGAGAAATTAACTGCTCATTCAGTTGTTGGTTGACACTGTCGCCACTTTTCCCTTCACTACGTAGTCGTAACAAGCTCAGCCTAAATGCTGTACTTACTTATATCCATCTTTTTCTAAGCGATTCTTATGGATATCTTTGTTACACGAGCCACTAAATTTGAACAAAGAAAGGAAAAAGTTTATCCCATTGCACTATTCCACTTACGCTTCATCCACTTCTTTTCTATGTAGCTGAAGTATCTCTGCGGTAGTATTTACCAGCGGTTGTTTCTCTGAGGAAGAAAATTCTCCATGATTATTCTATCATTCTTGCTAGAAAAACAGTTTCTAAAACTAGCGATAGAACTAGCTGAGAGACAGGCGAAACGAAGGACCCGCATAGTGTGGTGGTGAACGCGTTACTCCCCGGAAAGGACAATAACGCGTTCGTTCCCCACCGCAGACACCTGCGGTCCAGAGTTTTGCAAATATCTCAACATCATTGAAGTTTCTAAAACGCTCACTACGGTCAGATGTGTTTGACTCACCTAATACATCAGTAATTTTCAGGACATCTGTCTTGAATCGTGGACGGTTTTTAGTGATCGACTTGCCTTCTCCTGAAAAAGAGTAGGTCATCAAAATCATGGCAACAGATGGTAGTTTATGATGACTTTTCCGACAATCTAGTGACTCCTAAGGTTGTCTCGTAAAAGCAACTTACTAGTCAGACAAAGCGTTCGGACTCCAATCTACGAGAGATGTACCCTACATTTGTTTCCCTTAAACATCGTAGAATTTATTATAGCATATTTGCCTCAAGCGACATGATATTTGAGAGTTGCGATTTACGAATTTAGAGGGGAAAAGGCAAGGAACTCAGTAGGTGCAGTGGCTAACACGTGAACCCTGGACTAAGCGAGAGATCGGAACTGGTCTAGGGTCCAACTTTTGCGAATACCTCAGCATCATTGTAGTTGTAATTCATCATACCACATCATACCTTGCCGTGAAAAGTAAAACGCTATAAATAAAAACCCAAAAATGATAAATTCAGCATTTTTATCTTCCTAGACAACTCTTATACCAAATTGTTGACGACAGCGGGATTGGGGTTTGGTTACCCTGGAGTGCAACACTAATTAAGTACGTTATGAGGCACTCTTAATCAATGCGACAACTCACTCCTTAGAATATGTGCTTGTCCTTTGAAATAAATTATTTCAGAGGTTAGGTTCTTATTCTTCACTGAGTAGGAATCCCCTCTACTTCGTAGATACAAGAATTATCGAAATGCAAATATGCGTTCGCGTTGCCTGTCTGAGTTTTATTCCCGGCGACGCAGTCGCGGGTATCACACAGTTGCTATCTCCACAGCAGAATCTGGTGATCCACCAAAGTATATTCCAGAAAAAGTATGGATTGATGCTCCTCGAATCCATCAAATAAAATTCGAACAGTGGACAGGTTTGTCGTTGCAGTAGCAACGAAAGGAGTGGTGCTTGCTTGAGCTACTCGAAGATTGACAAGTTACAGATAATACAGCTGATACCACAACACCTCTTATAGTAAGGGGTAGTAATGTTACTCCATTGTTTTAAATTCTCCTGAGCTTTTGCTGAAAGAGTATTTCGCAAAAATAAGATAGATAAGCAAGGAAATAGATCAGCATGTACACCTTGTGGAAAAGATTCCAGAGATTTCCTGATATGAGGAACGATGCCGGTTTGATTCAGCTCTATCGGTTTTCCTCCACCTTAAACTTGTTTTCATTAAAAAAAAATAAAATGTAAGGCGTCAAGCGACTAGATTTATTAGCCACATCAAATGCATTAGTTCCGTTTGCTAGTAATTTTGAAGAAAAAAGTAGTATTAGGGAAAAATTACTCTCTGCATCCGCGCTATAGACATCACATGAACTCCTCTACCCTTTCATTTTTGTATCACAAAGCTTTCATAATTTCCAGTATTCATGCTTATGAGTAACAGTTTCATTGTAAACCGACTTACATTTAACCTTGGTTTTCGGGGATTCGGCTTATACGTCGTCCTTGAGCGGTCAGTTACTTTTACATTCCTACTTTCGTTTCTGATTTCGGTTTTAACATCTCTCCGAATCAACTAGCAGGAAGACCGAGCAAAGGATTCGTCACCGAAAACACACCTTCCTCTGATCCACATCGTGGTGAAGACCTGGATACGCCCTTGCAAGGTTACGTCAGGACTCCAGGGAGGACCAAGTTGCACGACCAGCAATAGGCCAGCTACAGTACCCCGCACAGTGGGTGCCCCCGTCTATGACGTCAGCCGGTGAAAGGCTAGAAAATCTCGGGTTACATAGTACGTCATTGGAACAGGATCTGACGAACGCAAACACGACACGCCATGGAGATTGTTTCTTACTATGCACGTATAATGCCAGAACACTCTCCACAGACGCCGATCTTCACGCTCTTCTTGTAGCCGCAGATCGCATTAAATTTCATGTGATGGCATTACAAGAAACAAAAATTAAGAAGACAGACATACTTTAACTAAATAACGGGACCCTAGCGATCCGTGGAGAAAAGGTCCCGTCACGAAATGTCGGTGGCGTAGGCTTTGTTGTCCAACCGTCCATTGCCCATCTCGTCGATTCATACGTGATCCTTTTCCCTCGCATAGCCGTCTTCCGTCTTCAACTGTCGCATCATAAGAAGATCACTATCATTAACTGCTACTCACCGACCGACGCGGCTTACGAGTACGAATTAAATGCGTTCTACTATCAGTTGGAGGAAGTCATCCGCAATGATATAAAGCACATCATAAATTTATTGTCGGAGACTTCAACGCCAGAATAGGAAAGGCCAATGAGAGCGAATACAGGATCGAAAAATTGGGTTAGGAGAAGGAAATGAGAATGGGAACCGTCTCGAAGCACTCCTGTCAGCAGCGCGTCTCTTCCATGGAAACTCGTTTTTTCCAGAAGAAAGAAAGCCGCCGCTGAGCAAGCGAGTCTCCCAACGGCGTGATTCATGCGGAGATCGACCATATTCTGACAAACAGAAGATGGTGCCTACTTGACACGTCGGTAGTCCCGTCGTTCTGTACTGGTTCCGATCACCGCCTTCTTCGCGCGAAGATTTGATTCAGCCGCAAACTGGAAAAGAACTCTCTTCATCGACGACAAGGAAAAAGTCTAGTTGTATACAACGAGAACATTCTAAACGAAGTGCTGTCCAAACGTGACTGGCAGATTAAAGAAGACCCGACCGAAGACTACGAGATGCTTGTCGAAGGGCTGAAAAGCTGTGCCGAACGCATTTCCATCACTATTAAGAAGTTCCTCGAAAAGAAAAGGAAACTGAAGTTTGATCCTAAGACAACACGTTTAACTTGGCTAACAATAAATGCCAGCTGCAGAAGAGCTTTGCAGGAAGATCTACAATGGTCCAAGCAAAAGAAAGCACTGGAAACACCAGAGAAAAGAACCAGTCTGAAAAAACGCCGTCGGAACCTTTGTGATTATAATGGTCCGGTGTCAGCCCTGATGAACGAAGATGGGATCCCCGGTAAGGACAACAGCGCGTGTTCGTTCTCCACTGCATACACCTGTGGTCCGGAGTTTTGCAAATATCTCAGCATTTCATACGAGTTATAATTCGAAACATAACCTGCCATTAAGAAGAAAAAGGCAGTAAATAAAAGAGTTAAGATTGTGATTATAACTAAGCCTCAGCTTAACTGGGTTCAATGCCGATATTGGCTCCCCAGATCAATCCCGTTGACGGGTGATTGCTGATGGCAAAAAAAAAAAAAAGATCGATAGAACTAGCTGAGATACATGCAAAGCGAAGGACCCGGATGGTGTAGTGGTGAAGTGCGCTGCTCCCCGGTAAGGACAACAGCGCGTGTTCGTTCTCCACTGCATACACCTGTGGTCCGGAGTTTTGCAAATATCTCAGCATTTCATACGAGTTATAATTCGAAACATAACCTGCCATTAAGAAGAAAAAGGCAGTAAATAAAAGAGTGAAGATGGGATCGTCAAAACTTCTCGCCATGATATGGAATTAATAAGGGAAACCTTTTACACCAACCTTTTCCGTTCCACAATCCCCGTCCCGGGCTCTAATATCCCCGCTGGAGAAAAACCACCTGGAACTGTTCCGTTGGAGGTTCGAGTTGCGATAGAAAGTATGAAAAGAGGCACAGCTCCAGGACCCGATACTATCACTGCCGATTTCCTTAGAGCTGGAGGCCACAATTTACATGTACTTCTCGCAGATCATATGACATGCTACCTTCAAAGGGAGAAAATCCCAGACCAGTGGAGGAGTAGCGAGCGGTCATCGTGCCCAAGAAAGGAGACCGAAAGGATCTTCGTCACCGTCGTCCAATATGCTTGCTAAGTGTACTCTACAAACTCTTCACGAAGATTATCTCCTCGCGCATACCAAGGACATTGGATGAGGCGCAACCAGTCGAGCAAGCAGGATTTCGAAAAGGATTTTACTGCATGGACCACATCCAAACCGTGTCCAGGGTCATCGAAGTTTGTCGGGAATACCACTTGCCTCTAGTCCTAACCTTTGTCGACTATGAAAAAGCGTTCGACAGTGTCGAAACGAATGAAATCCTATCAGCTTTCGTCGACCAAGGAGTGGACCCATCCTACATAAGGACTCTGTCCGACTGTTATCGAAGTTGCACTACGAAAATAGAGGTTTTCCAACGACCTCTTACAATACCCATAGGAAAAGAGGTTCGACAGGGCGACACAATATCGCCAAAGCTGTTCAGTGCTGCACTGCTGTCGATAATGAAGTCACTCGATTGGGATGAGAAAGGTATACGTATTGATGAAAAATTCCTATCAAACCTTCGTTTTACCGACGACATTGTGATCTTCTCAACAAGTACTAGCGAAGCAGAGGTGATAATCGACGAGCTCAATGGAGTGGGGAAAAAGATCGGACTTCGCATAAATCGAAAGAAGATCCAGCCCATGAAAAACCCATGGCGCGAAGGCGAAAAAATAATTGGATGGCTCTCTCATTGCACAGACCACCTCGTACGTTTATCTTGGGCGATCAGTGAACATGGAAAACAACATGAAGGAGGAACTAGAAAGAAGAAGGAGAGCAGCTTGGGCCGCATTCGGGCCCCTCAAAGAAGCCACCGATCGACTGAAGGACCCGAAAATCCGCGCTCATCTCTTTGATTCTACGGTCCTCCCAGCGCTCTGTTATGCTGCAGAGACGTGGGTTGAGACTCTCTTACGTCAAGAATGCTTCGAACTACTCACAGAGCGCTTGAGCGATGTCTTCTGAAATATAACCGGCACTCTCAATATGTAAGAAGGATGCCACCTTAGCGTGATTGACTACTGTTCCCGAATACTGGACAGAGGTGTACATCTGATTTTTCATTTCCCAATAGGCTTTCCTCATATGGAGAGTAAGACACTCCCATCCACGAACTCAGCTAGAAGAACCTAGTCAAGAGGCGAAAACCAATTCACAAGTGCCTGGGAATCGCTGTGGTGACGAATTGGGAGCGCTCCCCAGGCTTCTCAACATTTCAACGAAAGACGTCTAAACCAACAATGAACAAATTATCAGCCAACTGCAATTTCCCTCCCACCCCACTCCGCCCCCGTCATTATCATGTTCCCCATTAACAAAATCTTCATTGAAAAGTCCAATCTTTCAGGTATGGGGTAAAAGCATTTCAGGGTGAACATAGCTAGGATGACACGTTAGCTGTGGCTTGGCATTGCAATAGCTTGTGGATGACCACGTGGGCGGACTACCCATGGATGTCATGGTAACCGATTCTGATGTTCCTTACTCGTCGTTGGCGACCATATACAATGAATTAGACCATTTGAAATCTTACATGGTTAGTCTATTATAACGAACGACGTCAATTACACTGATTTTAAGCTCGTCAAACTCACTGAATATCTGTGTCCCGTGAACTCTGAAAACATGCTCATCGTTTCTCGGAATCTTTCGAAAGTTTGGCATCGATTTGGATGTCGTGTAAGTGGCAAACTCGTCCGGATAAAGTTGTCGCATCGCTTCTCGGCGATCTGTCTCATATGGATCGACCACGTCGTAGTCGGATGGCACGGAAGATGATGTAACGCTCGACGATGGATTATTTTCGTCACACGGAAGAACTTCCTGGAAATTGCGATAAATCCACCAGTTGTGGAATACTGCAAAGGCTACAATTAAAAGAGCTGGTTATAACATTTCTAGAAAAACAATTTATGTAGAATCAAGGATTTTATAAAGGATTAAAAATTAGGAGAGCAGATCTAAGGTTTAAAGAAATGGTTGGACTAGTTGAAGGCTGCTGGGCAATATTGAAAGCAACCGAACTCACGTGAATAAGTTCGAACGCTCGTAATGTCGAAAATTCCGATGAACAAAACATGGAAAATTGAAATAAACGAATTCTTGAAGAACCGATACCGTATTCATCAAAGACCTATTAGAACCATACGCTGCAATGGATAAAATAAGGATAAAGCACTCGGCGCTGATCAATCCCTGAAGGATGGCCATGCACTCGACTTCATTAGGCGTCGTTTGGAGGTAATTGAATGCATATCTGCCCTCTACAATTATTCGCGGTGGCCTAGCAATGTATCGAGCCAGTGCTGTTAGGGTCCCAGACAAATGTGGTATCAATTTTCAGACCCCAGAGGGATGGAAGACTTGGTGGGTTATGGGCACGGGATCGATTCCACGTGTGTGTTGCAGGGCGCCTCTGACCACTGCGCCAAACGCTACAATGAGGTGTAGATTTTTTCAATAGGACCAAAGCGAGTATTTTTTTGTATGAAAGATATAACATCCTCGAGGGAAAAAAGTGAAAAGACAAAAGAATGAACCCGTATCATGAAATGGCTCGCTATGTACAGGAATAAAACTTTTGGAGATCGAATTTTTAGCTCTTCGTTCCAAGAATATCTGACTTTTTGGAAACTATGAATTTAAAATACAATTAATATGCAATGTGTTTCGATATTAAAAACAATAAAAAGTCCTCTAAAGAGCCTCCAGTTACAACTATTGCTTCCGCTGGGTTAAAATGATGCGGTATTTTTATCACAACAGTCATGTAGCTTATTCTTTTATAAGAATAGAACCCATCAAACCTTATTGGGACCTAAGCAGCTGAATCCTCGTACTGTATTGCAGGCCCGGACACGAATTTGCACACCGTTCCTACAGAACGACCACGCTGACCATCCAGCCCAAATCGAAACATACACTGAATAAAATGTACTAGTAGATACAAAAATGGACAAACTGACCCGATTTTACAAAATCTTCGCCTTAGTATTCAAAAGTACTCGATTCGGTCACTTGACTATTTGTTCTTTATATCCGCAATTATTTGTATTATGCTTGGTTCATCAGCTATGGTGTTATGAATTTACACAGTATGCAACTGAAGATGATATGGTCTGAAGTAAAGGGGCGTGTGGCGCATTAGTGGGAGCCGCCTTACAACACACACATAGGATCGATCCCAACGCCAATGGCTCACTTAGTCTTCCATCCGTCCAGGGTCGGCGAATTGATACCAGACTTATATGGCAGGATAGCAGCACTGGCTCGATACATCACTAGGCCACCGCGAGTCATTGTAAAGGCCAGATATGCATTCAATCACCTCCAACGATGCTTAATGATTGATAAACGCCGAGAACTTTATCCTTTTTATTTCATGGTTTGATGTTACCATTACACCCAATTTGGTCTTAACCAAATACAAATGATGAAGCGTTCGGCATTGATCAACCTTTGCGGGATACGCCTTGCATTCGACTCCACTCGTACTATCGCAGAGATGATTAGATGGGAAATATTCGGCTTACGCAATGACTTTTGGTGACATGACGTCACATTAAGCCAGTGTTCTTACCCTCCTTAACAACCAGGTATGGAGAGCGTACTTTGCCTGTGGTATGGAATAAAACCAACGACTCCGTGCTTACTGCTCGGCACCTCTAACCATTGTGCTACGCAGGTTTGTGTAAACGCACTTTTTTTCATAATTCTTCATTCTCATTCCCCAAAATCGACTTTTTATTAACCTCCGCACTGGACTATAAATGTCTCGTTCTCTTTTTCAGCAATCGAGAGGTTGTTATTCAGCACACCTCTACTTCCGTGCACATAGAACACATTCAACACAACGGTAGCTGACGTTTCGACAGCCTGGAAGGGTACACCGATATGTAATTTATTAGCTCCGAAGAAGACGATACTGCCGAAACGTCAACTACCGTTGTGTTGTATGTGTTCTATGTGTACGGAAGTAGAGGTGTGCTAACAACCTCTCGATTGCTGAAAAAGAGAACAACACATTTGTAACCAAATGCCGAGGTTAATAGAAAGTCTATCGTGAGAAATGAGCTGAAAAAAAGGCTCAGAAACTCTTGCACAGGTGAGTTGAATTTTTTCAGTACTCAATTTGTTTTTCCAAATAGTACGAACGCTCTGTTCAACGGACGTTCATGGCGTGATCGTTTTCGCGTAAATCCCGATGCTGACGATCATCAATGGCGATTCGGTGAAGGGAAACGTGAGATCGGTTTCGGTACGAGTTTCACGCTGCTTCCGATGATCGCAATGATTGGTGTTCAGTTGTGTTGTCGATTTCGAATCCTCGTTTTATGGGTCATTCTCTATCATTGCAACATTGTTCCGTCACTGTCTTCACCTTCCGGAATTCTCCTCATGATCGACGGAATGCGAATGAACTTCCACGAACATTGGAGAAATGAGTCATCAAGAGAATAAGAAAAAAGCGGAGCGAAACGTAAAATGGCTTCCTTTAAATACCACTCGATTAGTGCATGTAATTACATTGTACGCAACTCACATTTACAACGTCAGAAAACTAGTATAAAGTAATCAATAATGAGAAGAAGTTAATCAAAAAATTGTTGCCGTATTATTTGTTTCACAATGAATTTTAGGAGATAAAGCTCACAGGATAAATCTCTCGGCGTTGATCAATCTCTGAGGGATACACCGTGCATCCGACTTCATTAAGCACCGTTTGGAGGTTATGGAATGCATATCTGGCCTGTACAATGACTCGAGGTGCCCTACCGATGCTTCAAGCCAATACTGGTATCCTCGTAGGAAAGTTTAGCACCAATTTGTCGACCCCGAGGGAATAGAAGGCTTGGTGGGCCATGGGCGGCGCGATCGATCCCATGTGTGCCTCGCAGGGCGCCTCTGACCACTGCGCCGCATGCGTCCACAAATCAAAATCAGAACTTTGGGAGCTGCTACGTTTAGACTGAACTATTCCACTTTTAGCGGTAGATTCAGCTAGTGTAGACTTTGCCCTTCCGATTCTTTCTTGTATCCACATTCTAGGTCTCATTTCCATATTAACAACTGGAGTAAGAAAATCAAAATCAAGTTTTGTTATATAATAGTTGATAAACTACGAATCTCTCAAATGAGAGTGATCTTTCGGACCGGTTAGTAGCGAGGAGACGTGGAATGATGTTCTTTGGCGGTGGAATAGGAGCTGAAGGCCTTCGGACTTTCCCTCGTCGCACGTTGATTCATTGGATGATTACCCCCTTTTTTTGCATCAGAATGACCAATGCCTTTCCAAATACCTCAATCTTGTCCATCTGGAGATTTATGAGCGCATTTTTTTCGTATGGGGATACAAATTTGGCCCTTCAGAGCCTGAATGCTCAATTGAGTGAGAGATACACTGAAGGTGACGGTTAGCTCTCTTCCTTGACAAAAGAAAAACTTCGTGTCTATTCTGAGTGAGAGAGTTTGGCCTTGTTGCATAGCAAAAACCAATCCAGATTTTACTGGCGCCTATTCCAGAGACCTTTTTTTTCTTCACTACGACGATTACAGCTGATGAAAGTAAACAGTTTACATCGTTAATCACATGAATATTAAAGTACTAAGCAAGAAATATCCACTTCTTGAAAAGCTGAAAATTTTTCGAAGAAAAAAAAAGCTGATCTGAACTATGAGTAAACAAAACCGAATTGAGCATTTGGCGGAAGTGGACGCGGCGTCACGAATCCACGAAATTGATTCAGCTTGCCAGTCGGAGCCCAGGATGGCTCGACGGTCTGCTGTGACGCTGAAATTCTTCAACTCTCGTCGCTGTTTCCTGTATAGGATCGTTGTTTAATGCATTTTTCATATTATAATGATATAACAACCATTCTAACAGGGTTTATTTTCTTCAATTTTTGTCATTTGGCTAATAGAATCCAGGGATTCCTTCCGTACACATTCGTTGATTCGTCCGGTTCACTTTGAAGAATTTGTTATACTTTCAGCCCATATGAAAGACTAAGGAGAATATGACTGAAAAAAATGAGATTCAGTCATAATATCATCCAAGAATAGCCAGTGTCCATATTTACCGCTGATGAACTCTGAAACTGCTCAGTTCTAGTTAATAGTTTTTGATTTCTGCTCAAATTACGTTACATTGTCAACTTATGATTAAGCTATGGCTTGGTTAATCGTAGCTTCCAACTAACATGGTGTTTGGATCACTTTCGTATTTATAAGATCGGGAGATACGGTAGGGTTTTTGAAGGCTCCAGTTCAAATCACCCTAGCTCTGAAAAGGCAAGGTTAACCAGCTGGGCAAATACGCACTATTGCAGCACACCTGTGGTTAGCGCTGTCCAATGAAACCACTTCCACTGAATTTTAGGTGTCCTCTTAAGTACGTTTCCCACCATTTGGTACTACAGTGACAGTAACCATAGCTTTGGCAGGACTCAAGCTTACAATTTGCAAACAAGCCTGGTTAAAAACGCTAGATATGGTTTCAAGCAGTTTTCCATCAGAAAAAGCAATGCATCATGACTCTCACAAATCGAAACGAGTTGGTTCCTTGAACTGCGTGTTCAGTACTATGGTACGTTCGAACCCATTGCTTTAATGAAACGACCACAAGACTTATTGCAACAGTAACCGGTTCAAACTATTAGCAGCGTTAGGACAACGAGAGAAAAAACGAAGGAAAACAAGAATCCAGCAATGAGAACCTGTAGCCATTTAATCGCTGTGAACACATTTAGTATCCTTGAATGGTTTCCTAGCCGTGAAGAACATTAGCCAATAACTGGTTTTTGTTTGTTTTCTATTAGATATAAAAATGACTGTGCTTAGAAGCCGAAAATATGCAATAAGAGAAGAGTACTACGCTCTTTTAGACTGAATATTTCCAGAAAAAGTTTTTCAATGGACTTTAGAAAAAGCAAATGAAGGGTTAAGTGACACTGTTGGTGACTGCATGTAGTAAACAACTGGAAACACCTTAGCATTGCAGATCTCAAAGGAAATCATATTCAAGCAACACTCATTATTTCAGTGCGATAAAAGGTTACAGATTCCCAAGTTGCAACCGAGCTCCATGAACCCACCCACCTCGCCAGAATGAGGAAGCACGGCAACGAAAAAACTAGAATCTCTTGGAGACAACCGCCTTTTACTTGAGCACTGAATATATTACGATATACTGCAAACACAGTACAGGTAGCGAGAAACAGGCCCTATCTGCAGTCTTCTATACGAAAGAGGAATATTTAATTGAGACCGCGATTGTGTAGGCCTAAGGTATACTAATTATAACGTTCGATATGTGTCACTCTACAGAAAAGTCAGGAGATTACTATATAATTATTGCATAATCCGAATTTATTTTGGGATATGGGATAGGCTAGCTTGACACAGAGCGGTGGTAGTCGCGGCCTACCCTACTGTGCCACTTCGGCCGATATTAACAGAAAGCAGCTATTGTAACTACACAAAATTAATGGAACGGTAAAAAATTATGAAAAGGATATTTATTTATGTGTACTACGAACTGATCTTGTTGAGCTGATGCGAGGTCGGTATAAGCTGTCGTTGTCGTTACTGTTGTTGTTGCTGTTGTTGTTGTCATTGCTGTTGCTGTTGTTGGTCGACGACTCATGTTTCGGCGATTTCGCCTTCCTCAGAGCTGTGCTATTACGAGTAGAANAAACAGGCCCTATCTGCAGTCTTCTATACGAAAGAGGAATATTTAATTGAGACCGCGATTGTGTAGGCCTAAGGTATACTAATTATAACGTTCGATATGTGTCACTCTACAGAAAAGTCAGGAGATTACTATATAATTATTGCATAATCCGAATTTATTTTGGGATATGGGATAGGCTAGCTTGACACTGAGCGGTGGTAGTCGCGGCCTACCCCACTGTGCCACTT